CATGGAATGAAGATGTGGAAAAAACACATTTAAACTCTCTAGTCTTCAGTAATTAAAATATGTGGGAAACTTTTGTTGCTTTTACCTCAATTTACGTACTTGAGAGGTTGGGAAAATGGGCATCTGACTGAATTATCAAAATAGTTTAAAGCAAAAAAGATAAGATTTTCGTGATCTACAATTAAAAGATTCCGAAGGGTGAAAATTACCCTCTCAAATTCAGCTACAATTTTCTAATTTTGGAACAGTTGTTTGATGAGCAGTTTCCTCACATTCTTACCCCTGATGCCACACATGAAGGGAAAATTGGGAATCTTTCACAGGGTGGCACTGGGAGTTGTTTTAACTTATATTGTCATGTTACACCTGGATAAAGAAACATATAAAGTAATTAAGTGAAACCTACTGAGGAAAACGGGGATTTCAGCTGAATTTAGCTAATTAATCCCAAGACTGGCCCCAAGTGTAGAAAGAAAAAAATATTCCAAGGGATTTTCCTTATCGGTTTTAATTTAGTTCTGGGCAATGGCAGTGTGTTTCTCCTGGTTTTGTATCTCATTACCCTCAAGAGCACCCTTTTTCCCTCCCGTGACCTGCACTTCGAGGGTGATACCATCAGCTCATCAATTGTCAATGCTACCAGTTCAATAACCAGCTATCATGGCGGGGCATCTTTCTTGATGAGAGGCAACTGCAGATCTTGGCTCTCTCCAAAAATAGCCTGTATGCAGTGCCAGGTAACCCCAGATTTCCTCGGTCATCTAAGCTCAGGAAAAAAACTTCATACCTGTGCTTTCTTTGGAACATGTTCATAGTCAAATAATGATTACATTTCTTGTGATTTTGGTCTTGAGACATAACTGACCATAATATATTTTTTTTATATCAGTACCTATTGTAACCATCGTTCCTTAAAACCAGTACAAATTGTCTCTATGAATAAATGTTATCTGTGCTTCCCTAGCCCGTTGAATTTGGCAGTCTGAATTAAAAAAAAGAGAGAACGATGGAGCTTTTCATTTAGTATCGCATGGTACAATAATAGTTACTCTAGGGAATTAGCTTTCACTAAACCCTAGCGACAGTCGCAAATTAACATCTCAGGTGGTGCTGTGTTGGAGTGTAGAAGGCCTTCCCCAGGTAGAGAAAGAAAGTTCCCCAGAGGTCTCTGCACGATGCAATATAATGTTACGCAGAAACCAGGTAAGAGCCTCAGGAGAGAGGGAGAGGTGCAGAGATGCGCACCAGCTGGGAACATCCACGGAAGGAATTATCACTGCTTTTTTGTGTGAGGAAGGTGGCTCAGAGAGCATTGACCACAACCTGTGCTGGAAATCCTGCCTTTCAGCCTTGCCTTTCCTCTAGGAGAACAGGGCTATATTTAACATCTGCAGCCTCTCATTTGATCAAATCATAGGAGCATGACATCATGGAGGTGAAATTTATCATATTAAAAACCAGAACTCTCATTTAAAAAATTAACCTCAAAGTTAAAAAATATTAGTTCATCTTTTTCTATCATGAAACAAATAACATTGAGTAATATTAGGTACTCTTCATCCATGATAATATTTGTTTAAAATATCATAGTTAATTTAAGTTAAGAAAATCCATATTTAGTTTTAAAAATTCTTTTAACAATGATAACCTTTCTCAAGTAAAAACAGAGATTTTTTTTTTGAGGAGAACAACTATTCCCCAACTTTAAACTATTTTTTTTTTTTTTTTTTAAAAAGGAAAGTAGCAATTACCATAGTAAAAAATACTGCTCTGGAGTACTCACTGCTATATAGCATTATAATGCATCAATTTTCATGTGTTGTATACCACAATATTCTAAAGAATTCTAGAATTTGAGGGATGAATGATTTAGTCATGATTTAGGTGAAATTCTTTGTTTCAAATTTAATGCAGGCAGTATGCATTTTAAGACTTTAATTTTGCTTATAGTAATTTAACCACTTTTTAGGAAATGCTCTGACTTCACTGTTGATACCAACATCAACCACACGATGTCACCAATAACTGTAGTACTGATAGCCTTGGGAAGAAACTAATACAGTACACACATTTCCCCATAGGTTAAATTGTTTTCTATTTTGTTCATGAATTTTCTTTCTGTCAAACTAACAAGAATTTACTATTAATTATATTATTTATTATTAATTTATAACAACAGTGTGATTCCCAGAATTTACAATTTTTGAGGTTTACTTTAAAAAATATTTATAATAAAATGAAAAGTAATATCCTTTTAAAAGATCCATTTGCTTATTCACTTTCATGTACGTTCTGATGATATAACTGGGAGGTATGGTAAGAATTAATCAAAGGGCATGTATTGAACACTATTTTTCAGGCTCTGTGGTGAGACACATTCATACACACACACGTGTGCACACCCAACTTCATGAGCCAGAGTACACTTGAGTTCTAATCAATAATTCTTCAAGAATTCTTTTCTAGAATTCTTTTGTTATGTGAAAGTTAGAAAGAATAGAATATTCTTTCCTCCCTGAAATTGTACCAGCAATGTTTAATATTTATGTGTCATATAATCACTCTTTTTGGCATAACACAAGATTGATTAAAGTAACATCTGACCTCTTTTCATGAAGGTAAAACCGATCTTTTCTATCTCCAATTCTTCCCACAAGTGTATTCTAAATTTACAAGATTAAAAAAAATAAACATATTGTGATTGTAAGACCAACTTTTTCCCTTGAAATGGTTTATCATAATATTATGCTTAATTATGCAAATACGCTGGAGGCTTTTTTTATGGGTGCATCAGCCAAACTCAAATACATTAAAGATGACAAATACATATTCATTTACACATTCAGCACATATATGCCTGTATGCAGAATTCAATTAATTTACAAATAAATTGATGCATGTAATGATACAAATATTAAAATATGAGAAGGTATGGAACAAAACTATTTGAAGAATGCTTATGGAAAATATCTTTTGGTTAAAAATAACAAACCTCTAAGGAATCAAATTTATTTTGTGGATTATTCACCATGTAATTCCAAAGATTTCTGAGGAAGAAAGAATTTTAGTATTGTAAGATTGACAGTTTTACTAGCTCTAAAAAATATCAACTGAAGTTTTATGTTGTTAAAATGGATATGCTGTTATTTTTTAAGGAACATAGGAGGGGAGGGGAAAATAAAAAGGATATTAATCAAAATCTTTCATGAGATTTAAAATAATAGAATAAAAATTTTAACAGTTTCCAAATATTTGCTGGGAAAACATACAGGTGAATCTTTTAATTTAATAAGCTGGATAGTTGGCCTTATTTATATACAGTAAAAGAAAGAGAAATGTACATTTGTATTATAGTTGTCAGATAGATAATCATGTTTGTGAAAAAATGCAGTATATAATTTTCCTGAGCTATTTTAAAAATATTTATAAATAAAACTACAAATTTTTTGATTTTGTAGATTATTTTTGAGGTCACCTGCTTCCAGTGATGAGCAGTGGCTTATAAAAACAGCACACATTTTACCTTTAAGGCTAGTATTTGTGATCGGTTTTTACACTTGCTATTTCAGTACAACACATCAAATTTACAAATTAATCTTATCCCCAGACATCAAAAAATGCAAAGTAAATATTTTGTACTTTTTTGGTATATAACAAACACTCTTGAATTGGCTTTGCTTTTAAAATTGTCATCATAATAAACTTTCACTAAAAAAATAGCATTGACATTTCTAAATAAACCTACACTACACAATATATACTTATATATATATGTGTGTGTGTGTGTATGTATGTATATATACATGTATGTGTGTGTATATATAGGTATATATATATATTCTTAATGTCTTTGAGTATAATATTTTTAACAATGAAGTTAAAAGAACATCTCATATATTCATAAAAACTTAAGAAAAACGAAAACAAGCTTTATAAAGCTTGAAATAATGACAAATATGTCATTGTATTAATGACCTCCCAATTTGGACTTGCATAACAATAATAATAATAATTCTATTTTATAACAATCTAATAAGAATTTTTCCACTTGTGTCTGGTGACTGAACTAGATTCATATATGCTTTATTTACACTATAACATATCAATGGTTTATATTTATCCTAGCAACAACCTGTTCAGCTAACAAAAACCTTAACATTGGTACATTCACATTAAAGTGTCTAGCTAAACACATTATGTTTTCTTAGAAGAAGAGTTCTTCCAATAAGGGCTTTTTTGAGTTTATGATTTTCAATATATGATAAAAGATGAAAGATTTTCATAACCAGAACTGTGACACTATAAATATCTTGAGAAAACTGCAAATATTTTAATATACATTTATACTTATAAATATTTTAGGTTTAGATTTTAAATGTTGATTTCACTCTAGGTGATAATGCTAGTTCAAACCATTGTAACATTTTTAAAGACAATCTCCCAGTTAATTTTCTTAAGAAAATAAATCATTGCTGCTCTCATAGTCATATTTATTGTTCTAATTTTCATAATTTTAGGTGACCTTTCTTTATCTTTTATATAATGACCTAAAAAATCACAATAATTTTGTTGGGTTTCTATTATTAAAAAAATTATATAAATAGATGCTGTAGGCCAATATAGAAGAAAAATATTTTTCACCTGAATCAGCAGCTTTGGGAGTGTTGTCCAGTACTGAACTTTATTTTGTTTTGTTTTGTGTAGCAAACTGTACATGCTTAACATGCGAAAGGTGTTAAATAAAAATTTGGAATATTTGAGCTCTGTGTGAAATATTGACAGCAGGAAGAATTGGGAACGATGTGTTAGATTATTAACCTAGATAATTTGTCTGTTTAAATTACAGATTTGTGGTTAATAAACACATATAAAGCCTCTTAAGTTGTTAAAACTCTGGGTTGTAAAAATAAAATGACAGTAGGCTTAAAAGCTCTATGACAAGTCACCTGGCAGTTCTTGATGCTTGGTCTGGAATTCATCAAAATGTGTTTTCTTTCAAGGCACTTCCATTCCAAAGAAAGCACAGATACATACAATACCTTCGAATGAAAGGGACCGCTCACTCAGAGAGAGAAATACTTCAGAGTTCTGAAAATGGGACTGTCCAGAATTAATCTTTCGTAAGTGGTACCATTTTCCTTATGACTGGCAACCAAGTCTCAGAATGAGGAGAGACTGTGGTGCTGAATTAAATTTGATATGAGTAATTGCTTTGGAAAAGACAGGATCTATCAAAACTATCATTTCTGTGGAGACCGTCATTTTCCCCAACTTTTATCATGTTCCTGTTCCTGAGAGCTGTGACATTGAGGAACCTGACTTTTCTGTCCTTGCCATTACTTATTCTGAATTCCTGCCCCTTTCTCTATCTTGGTTATGTGAGCTCAGTAACCCAGAAGAAAATGTCAAGGTCCAGTTCAATGTGGTCTTGTGTCAATCTGTTTCCTTCCTTTGGAATTCATCCAACTTTTCTAGGACTAGAGGTTCCTCTCATATAGAGGGCATTCTAGCCAGGAGTGGTGGCTCACACCCATAATTCCAGCACTTTGGGAGGCTGAGGCAGGTGGATCATTTGAGGACAGGAGTTCAAGACCAGCCTGGGCAACGTGACAAAACCTTGTCTCTGCTAAAAATACAAAAAAATTAGCCAGGCATGGTGGTGTGCGCCTGTATTTCCAGGTATTCAGGAGGCTGAGGTAGGAGATTCCCTTGAACCCAGGAGGCAGAGGTTGCAGTGAGCCAAGATCCCGCCATTGCACTCCAGCCTGGGCGACAGAGCAAGATTCCATCTCAGAAAAAAAAAAAAGGGCATTTGTTGCCCCAAATGAGGTGGGTAAGCAACAACTTTTTGAAAACCAAAACCCACAGAAGCTTCTGGGTTATTTTAGGGTCCTAGATAGAAAGACCACTTACATCAACAAATGACAATGTCAGTATGACTGAATAACTGAAATACTAATGACATTTCTGATTTAATTGGGGCTAGCAGCCTTACATCTTACCCCACTTTTTTTTTTTTTTTTTTTTTGAGATAGAGTATTGTTCTGTCACTCAGGCTGGAGTGCCGTGGCACAATCCCAGCTCACTGCAAACTTCACCTTTCAAGTTCAAGTAATTTTCCTGCTTTGTCCTCTGCAGTAGCTGGAATTACAGGCATGCCACCACGCCCGACTAACTTCTGTTTTTAGTAGACACGTGGTTTCACCATGTTGGCCAGGATAGTCTCAAACTCCTGACTTCAGGTGATCCATCCACCTCAGCATCCCAAGGTGTTGGGATTACAGGCATAAGCCACTGCACCCTGACAAAAGCGCTTATTTTATAGAAGCTAAAGATTTGGAGAAGATATAAAGAACCATTGTAGAAACACAAAACTGTTGATAGTAGTAGAGACAGAATAAGACAACTAATAAAACTAACAAAATAATAGAAAATAACGTAAGTAATATGTTCTCATAACATGAGAAGAAATGTGCATGAGCATTACCTTGTATCCTCCCAACAACTCTATGAAGCAGAATGATTTTGAGATTCTAACTTAAAAAGTTTAGATTTCATAGAGCTGGAAAAAAATGAATTGCTGTAAAAGCTTTTGATGAAAGGCATTACTGGAGAGTATATTTGGGCTAATGGATTTCGCTGGTGTTGGATTTTATCATTCTCTCACTCTTTCTTTCATCGTTTGAGGTGATAGGTGTTGGTAAAGGACAGCAGAGAAAGGAAGCAGATTTACCATTGCCCTCAATAGGTAGCACATACATTGATGACAATGGTCTTTTTCACTTTTATTAATACTTTGTCAGTGCCTAAGAGCAAGATTGGAATGTATGAAGTATTTTTACACAACCCTTTTAATGAGGAATTTTAGGATTGGAGATCATCAGACCATCTTGTTCAAAAAGTACTTGTCATTAATCAGGGAAGTTTTTTTTGAATTAGGCAATTCTGATATTCACGTTAAGAGATATGAAGAGGACTCTGACTTAAGTCTAAGTATAGACGATGAAACCAGGAGATCTTACTCAACAGAATATCCATAGGACAATCACATATAACTGAAAAAGATTTATTTTGCCAACACACAAGCAGAGAAGCTTAAGTAAAAACATATGAAAAAGAAGATGCTTTTTAGGGAAAGGCATGGTCTAAGATATTAAGACAAGTTTTTACATTTTACTTTTTGAATAAATGTAAAGATAAATAATTTTCATCTTAACAACACAATAAGTTTAACTACTTAGAGGTCATGTGTCTGCTTAACAAGTTAAAAGTAAATAAAACCACTCTGATCTTTAAGGTACAGAAAACTTATGAAAAAAGTTGAATGCTGATATTTGCCAGCAAAAATGAGAGCTGGCAGTGAACAGTGATGAAACTCATCATTTATATGATGTTAGTCAATATATTGATTTTGATGTGAATATTTCTCAAATATTCATTGTTCTTCTACTCAACATCACTAGATGTTAAACCAAAGAAGAAAGAGTTAGAAATTCACTTGTTGGTTCTCTCTAGCAATTCTCAAACAGTAATTTTATTTGTAAACATTTGTGAATAAGTGGATTTTTGCACAGGGCCCTTTCTGCTGAGTGAGTATATTGTGGTGTGACTTTGCAAAGAGTGGGTGTTTTTAGCTCAGAGTTATCCTGATATCTGGTATTCATGTCATTAGTTACTGAATACCAGATTCAAGTAACACATAATAGGAACCACCACTGACAGAGATGTAACAACACAATAGGAAATTTAAAGAGAAGCTTATTTTCTTTTTCTGTGTCTGATAAGTGCCCATTACAGCAAAGAGATCTTCTTTGTGATATTCGCCACTGCTCAAAGATGCCAGTGAACCAATATTTACTCAACCCATGCTGAGAAGTTGTAAGCAGAAAGATGTTCTGAATGTTTGCTGCCAATCAGAAAGCCACACTTTCTCAATGCCGCCAACCAAGCCTAAGCTCCTGGCCTCTTTACACCCTTTAAAAAAATACTAGAACTGAGAAATTGAGATCCCATTAAATCTCAACCTGTCAGTACTTTCTCCTAGTCTGTTTCTCTTAAAAAATCTTTTACATTTTTAAGTTTTTATGAATCCTAGAGAATGCCATATTTTTTAAAAAGGAAACTAAAATAAAAACCACATTTACATGAACTCTACCTACCTTTCACCAACTGCATATTTACAGACTGTTGAAAGAACCATAGCCAGCTACACAAAGTAATGACTGCAGAAATGGAAAAGGGGAAGAAAAACTGAACAACCAAGAGATACAGCAGCCAAAACAAGTACAATTCTTTTCAGCAATATGCCCAAGTGGGAGAAAATGGTGGGTCTGCAAGTTCCAGTAATTTACAGGTTACATACCTCACAAGGAAGTAGTGATGTAGCAGATGCAAGAAAGGAAAACTACAGTAGAAAATGATTTTCTTGGAAAACCATTCAAATACAGAGGCATAGGCATTCTTACTTGGAACATGAGGTATAGACACAAATCCTTATACTTCATTTGCTTTTTCTCTTAGTCAATGAATTGGGATTAACTTCACAATTCTATACTATTATATAGCAATGATAATGATCTTCATAGCTACACCATGAAGGAAATGGACAGATGTTAGAATACATCTTTACAGAGACTCAGAGGGGCTAAGTGTCTCCTCTAAGGTTATCATGGCCCAAAGCAGGTGATACTAGCAATTGAGACCAGGTTTTCTAATTCATAGATTAGAATTCTTTATATGTTTTCTTGTGTAGGACATTGGGCATGACAGCTTGACTAGCGTTTGAAACAGCATTTGAACTAGTATATGTCAAAGAAGAGAAATGAGAAACAGGCATATTAAATTTTGTGATGGCTAGTCTCCATTTGCCTACAGCTGCATTCTCTGCCATTGTTTGCCTTGCTTGGGGCCTCAGAAGGCTGGCACTTAATGAAGGACATCCCTGGTCTTCCCTGCCTTCTGGCTTCTCATTATAGTCAGCATCGGGAGGCATCTGTTTTAAACTCCCGTCTTTGGCACAGCTCTGGCAGTGTCTGCATCCCTCCAAGACTTGCTTTCTTCAGTCCCTAACACAACCACTCAACTCACAGGTTTTAGCTGGAAACAGGCTGCCCTAGGGTTTTAGCCACTTCCTTTGTCGTTAGTTCTGCATGCCTCAGCATCCCTTAGCCCTGCCCATCCTTTATAGATAGTCCCTTCGTTACAAGTCTCTTCAAGACATATCACTGTAAAAAATGCACAACTTCAATCTAATCACAAAGGAACGTTGGACAATTCCATATGGAGGAAACATCAATGAAATAACTGGCCTTTACACTTTAAAATGTTAATGTCATAAAAGAAGAAAATGAACTCAGGAAATAGTTCTGATTCAAGGATACTGACAATCGGGCGTGGTGGCTCATGCCTGTAATCCCAGCATTTTGGGATGCAGAGGCGGGCGGATCACAAGTTCAGGAGTTTGAGACCAGCCTGGCCAATATGGTGAAACCCCATCTCTACTGAAAATACAAAAATTAGCTGGGCATGGTGGCACGCACCTGTAATCCCAGCTACTCAGGAGGCTGAGGCAGAAGAATCTCTTGAACCTGGGAGGTGGAGGTTGCAGTGGGCTGAGATCACACCACTGCACTTCAGCTTGGGCAACAGAGCAAGACTCTGTCTCAAAACCAAACCAAACCAAACCAAAACAAAACAAAACAAAACAAAACAAAACAAAAACCAGACTGAAGAGACATGACAACTGAAGGCATGGGTAATCCTGATAACCAATGTATTTTCAGATAGAATGAAGGCAAACAGTGTACATTCCCATGACTCTAAATGGATCATGTTAGAGAAACGGGTTGCAGGAAAGAACTGTTTATGTGTTTTACTTTTGATTTTTAGTGAGGGTAAATAATTATGAAATTACAAAAAAACTGTGATAATCCCATACCATTTATCAATATGGAAATATGCTTAGGTTTATTATTATATACATTTATTATTTTGTTATATAAATTATGATTAAACCAATTTATTAGAAAAATTTCAAAAGAATGACTAAGATCTTTGGAATCTGCCTCAAAATTTAACCCAAGAACTTTTGG